TGGGGAACAGGGAGATTTACTACTAGCCTCCAGTGGGTAAAGGCCAAGTTGCTGCTAAACCCCACAAAGCACACAGCAGCCCTCACCTCCCAAACAAAACATTCATTATCCAGTCCAAGACATCAACAGAGCAAAGTTTGAGAAATCCTGATTAAGACTACAATTTTCAAGCTTCCATCTGTATTCTTAGCCTGACAAATGTTAGAGGCAGGCCTGCTAAGAACGTAATCATGAATTATAGAACTCTCATAACATGGTTTTAATGGGAAAAGGTTTCGTTCAGGTTTTGGTATCCAAAGAATAACTTCTGTGACTCCAGTTAAGATTCACTGATTCAACGTTTACCAAGCACCTGTTATGTAACTAAGCACAGTGCTGAGCAAAAGTAATGGTGAAACTGATAGTATCTGGTAGACCCAACTCCTGCCTGGCTCAGAACAGTGTAGGATGAAAAAAAGCTAGGACTCTGAAGCCAGACCCACCTAGTTCCAATCCCAGCTCTACCATTTACTGTAATCAGGCAAACTGCTTAACTCTTCCTGGACTTCAATCTCTCCATTTCCATAATATGTCAATCAGGGCTTCCCACAAAGTAGAAAATAATGAAATAAGGTATTTCTCATAAAGCACAAAGTATACTGCCTGGCACACAACAGCATTCAATAACTAATTCTCTATTACTAACAGCAAGTTTTAAGTTTCTATAAAGTAATCAGTATATTGGAAATGGCCAGTATGCCTATAAAGAGGACAGTCAGTGACTGTGACCGCATGAACACAATTTTGGTCAAGTTCATTCATGGCATACAAGATCCTTCAAGTTCTGGCTCCTATCTCTTCCAGCCTTACTTCCCACCATCTACACCCTCTTCGATGTCCCATGCCCCATGAGTGGGGACAGACTGAAAGATGAGATCTAGTAGTCACCAGTCTCAGGCCAAAGGTCACTGTGAGAAAGAAAATTCTTCAGTTGGGACTCTGGCAGTACACACAGGTGCTGGGTGGAAGGGGGAGGAGAGGTGCACAGAACCAATGAACACAAAGAGCTCACAAGCCAGGAATACGTCATTTGCTGGTAATGCATTTCTAAATGGAACCTCTCCACCCAGCAGGCATCTTTCACTTCACAATTCATCAGTATTTTGCACCTCTTTCATAACAGACTGAAAAATAAGTCAAATATAATCAGCCTCATCCGTGGGGAAAAAAACAAACATGAAGTGACCACATTATCACAGCTTAACAAATGTGACCAGGTATCAATGCCAACATCTAAATGAGAAAAGCAAGCATTAACCACAAATTACTGAAAGTATAGTTTGTAGCAAACAATGGTTACGAGTTTCAGTTCCCCTTAGCCAACATACAATAATGTTACATACATAATAAAAGAGCATGTTTTACTGAACCAGTTTCGAGGCAACTGTCAGCTCGGGAACCCCTTTCACATAAGCAGTTTTACTAAAACAGGAAGGCTGTGCCTACAGAACCAAGTATCCGCTGAATACACCGGTGAAACCCTCAGCCTTCTTTGCCCAGAGTCGTGCGGCAAGACAGAAGCAAAGGCAAAAATGTCAAATTTTCTTAGAAGTTTACATGCCTGACTTAAGTTTTGGCTAAACTCACTTTTATCTTCATGTAATCGCAGGGAATAAGGGGGGGGGGGGAGGGTAAACTACTATCAATGTGGTGCCAAAACACCAAAACTAAACCTCATCTACACTCCTCGCGGTGAAGGATTCTAGGGACTGGATGTGTGCTGGAGCCCTGGCTCTGTTCCAGGTGTGACCTTAGCCACGTCACTGAGGCTCGTGGGGGTCTCAGTCTCCTGAAACGAAAAAGAAAATAAAATGGCTGGATTAAGCTGTAACATCGCTTGGACTCCAATTCCGACTCAGGGTCTGACAATCTTTAAGATCAAAATGTTTCTTCACGGTCCTTCAAAGGAGAAGCTGAAATAAAGGCCTTTAGAGACATGATGTATCAAATTGTAGGCTTGTAGTTTTGAAAAGACCATTTAGTGAAACATTCTTAAAATCTGTGCTTAGTGATTACTGCAAACGACTGGCTGAATATAGTGACATAACCACAGAATTATTCCTGTCGCGGCAGCTTCCTGTCAGGCATCCTTCCAGGTAGCTGCTTTCTGCAAAAGAGTTGCCGGCTCTTCAAAATAATTCCAACAAAGCTACTAGTTAACATTCGCGTGATAATGCAATTGCTTAGCCTTCAGGGGTATACCACGCTCCATCAGATTCTGCTTATTAACACCGGTTTCAATGACTGAGAGTATCAATATTCCAAATTAGCAACCAAACAGCAATAGGAGAATAATTCGAAGGCTGAGAGCAAGGGTCACTTTCAGAGTTCTAGTCTGGGCGACCCTAGTGTTCATCCCCAAGAGAAAAGCAATACATTTATTCACTAAAGCTTTAAAGGATTAACGGGTCCAGCTTGCAACGGAGCCTCTGAACTCATTTGACATTTAAACAAGATAAATTAAAAAGTTCAGTTGATTTGGAGAGAGATTCCTTCCTAAAAACATCCCCAAAGAAAGTGCCTATGTTGACATTTATTCTCCACGCAGGATTTCTAAGAAGTACCACGGTCCACTGAACTATCCCAGCAATGCTGGTGGTTCTGGCCACGAAGAGGGACAAAAGGCAACGTGAACTCAACCACTTCACCTGAGTCCTGCCAGCTGGCACCAGGTGTTTACGCAATCACAGAAACTGTACCACAATAAATACGACCAACGATAATGAGAGAGAACTCAACCATTTCACTAGCCTTCCAATCAGGCCATAAAATCCGCATCGTTAACTATGCAAATACGCCATGGTTCATCCTTGCCTCATTCTGCATTCTAAATCATATATTTTAAAAGACACAAGTTTCCTGCGGCACCTGAATGGCTCAATCAGTTGAGCATCCAACTCTGGGTTTTGGCTCAGGTCATGATCTCCTGGTCCTGAGACTGAGTCCTGCATGGATCTTTGCTTGGGATCCTCTCTCTCCCTCTCTGCCCTTCCCCCCACTCGTGCGTGCAAACACAGGCACTCTCTCTCTCAAAATAAATTAACATTTGGGGAAAAAAAAAAAAGAGACAAGTTTTCTGAATCCACTCCATGAGGCTAGATAATCTTAGCACTAAAAATTTAATTTCACAGCATAACTTATATTGCCATTTTACCAATAAATTCCACTTGAAGCCTTAACTTTCAAGAGTAGGTGTTTACACCGCCTCTCCCTTTTCCTTTCTCAAAGTAAGATTAGCACAATGCTCATCTCAAATATTCCTGGATAACAAGAACATACATTCAGAAATCATAAACAATAAAAAAGAAATAACAATGATGATGATGATATTCCTCCAGTCTAGAGGAATACAATTAAAACATAAGTTGACATATTTAAGGAACACAAACTTCAAGACCATGAGTTAAGGACACACATTACTGTGTTCAGAACACAAAATCCACCTTATCCACATAAATAGGGCGAGTTAAAAGTAGTCGTTCCATCAAGATCATTTAAAGATTTGCCACAGCATTACATAAACCTTTTTCAATATCCGGAAAAACATTCCTCTTTACCCGCCAGTAAACAAAACATGCATTTGAGGCTGACCTGGAAATCCAGTGTCCCTAATGTCTACCAAAATAAGGACAGTTAGGAGTTATGAATTCTAAAAAATGTGAGCTAACTGGAAGCGTATTTTCAAGTGTTTACAGATTTTACAATATGAAACGCTTACTCAAAAGGGCCCTAATTGAAAACAGTTTCAAATCAATCTTCATGCTTCCTCCCCGTGCAAAATTAGGGAATTTCCTTAGTTTGCACAGACATATATGGGCCACTAGGTTTCAAGTCACAATGCAATTCGCCGGGTCGTTTTAAAATGGGTCATTAGTAATATTGTCCTACCCCGTCTGTCCAAAATGTCCCCAACATGCAATGTTTTTCAAACTTCAGAGTCCCTCAGTAACACCTAGGCCACTTATTAAACACGCAGATTCCGGGGCCCGAGCTGCGGGGTCAACGTGCCTTGGGAAGAACCCCAAACAGCACTTGTAATCAGCAGCCAAGTGAATCGGAAGCAGGTGGTCCAACAGCCACACTTTGGGGCACAGAAGCCGAACAAGTTCCCAAAAGAGCAACTACTTCAGCCACCTCGGCGAGTTACCAACGGGGAGAAATTCAAGCTGCTGGGACTTCGCGAGCCTGGAGGAGGGGCTCTGGGCCGGGCCGGACCCCCCAGGAACCCCGCGTCCCACCAGGCGACGCCTGCCCCCCCACCCCCCGAGGAAGTCAGCAGGCGACGGCGCTGCGACCGCGGTGACTTCCAGCATTTCCATAAAGTCTCCCCAGCTCCGTAGGGAGCTGGGGACAGAGCCTGGACTTCGAAGTCCCACAGGTCTAGGTTACTCCGGCTCTCCCACTTACTCCCCGGGCATGCTTAACGCTCGGGCCTCAGTTTCCCCGTCCGTGCAACGGACTCACGCCTCCCCGCGGGCAGGCTGAGCCGAAACGAAAGTAACTCGCCGGGCGGCTGGCACTTCCTGGCTCTCCCTAGTCCAGCCCGGCTTCCCCGCCGCCG